AGGTTTGTATATTTGATACTCAGAATTTGTTTCCCTTGTCATTCCTGCCCGCTTTTAGTTTTTTTCCACTTTGTCTATATTTGCCTCGAAGGCCCTTCTTCACCTACTGGATCTCGTTTGTTCAGTGCGTCGTCTTGATTATCGCATGCGTCGGCTATGGAATTACGCCGATCTGGCTTGAATCGTATGCCAGACTCACGGGCGAAGTGCGCCTTCCAAGTGGATTCGGAACAGAGCGGGTCTGCGCTGTGGAGCCAGCCAATATCTGGCTAGGACCCCGGCCAGCTGATTTGATCCGTCTAGGCGCCCGATTCTCGCCATGCATGCGGCCCGACCAGGAGCTCAACAGGGCAGTTGTGGTGGCACAACATGAGGCAGACAAAGAGTAGGTCCACCGGCGAGACTGTTTCGTGAGTAGAAGAGGCCAGACAAGTTTATTGAAAGTGGTTGAAGGGAAACGAGGTCAAGAATGATGACAATTTAATTGGAATTTATGGGAGAAGAGTGCAATTAGGCACAAGAGAGGATCGAAAAATGAAATGCCAGATTAGATTAGACTAGATAAAGAGGAGGAGGAGTTTGCGCTATGGAAATTAATTGAGACGAAAAGTGATAAATTTAAAGAGGGACGAAATAGAGTGGATAAAATGTGACCGAATGGCCTTGAAAGTAATCCAGTAGAATTAAATGCTAGTTACTCGAAGGTGTGGAGACCAAATGGTGTGCTTCTCACTATGGTCGCGGTCTCTTTTCATTGTTTACATGTGGCCTTACCCTATTTTCTTAACTAAGTCATATTGTCAGAGAGGCCTAGACAAACGCAATTTGTCTGGAGTCCTCCGTCATAGCATCCATGATATTTTAACATCGTCGGACCATGGACTTACTGCGTGGGAATGTACCAAGGCCATGGATACTATGGCTATGACTATGAACAATAAGACCAACTTACGGAGGTGGGGTCAGACTACTTTAGTTAATGATTTTTTATTAAATTAAGTGAATTCGGATGAGACTAATTGAAATCAATTTGAATATAATTACATCGAAGGAAATCCAATGGAAATCGGACGAATTCAAGTACGATTACATGTGAACAAGTAGACTCGAATGGAAACGAATGATATCGTATGTAATTGAATTGATTAAAATAGAATCAAATTAAATCATTTGGAATAGAATGGAATCAAATTGAATCGAGATGAATGAAGCATAACGAGATGGAAGGGAACCGGGAATAAAGCAAAGAAGTAGATTGGAGCCAAAGTTTCGATTTAACTCATTTGGATAAACATTCAAGCATCCCAATTTTATTTAAAATTTGCTACTACCATCCCCGTTTAGGTCTGGATGTTGCGTTCGCAACGACGGTGGTGGATGCTTTCAGACCAGTCGACGAGGCTGCTCGCACACACTCTCCA